TAAACAGTAGTAGGCATGCAGGTTTGCTGCCATTACTTAATAAAGCAATTTTATGAAAATTATTATAATATTGCCCAGTTTCACCTTGCAGGACTTTGAGGAGAGGACCATTTAGTTTTCAGTAACTGCAAGTCAAGAGGGTGGGAGGAAATTGGAAGTGTTGGTTTGGAAGGCTGTAGCCAGACACTATAGAAAGCTAGAATAACTGAGTACTAACTATACTGAGCATACTACAGTTTTCCACTGAAAGATAAAATTTATCTCTATAATTATCTTTTTGAATCAAAGTTACAGAAAGTCACATTATATTCTAAAAAACAAAGACAGAAAGGTTTGCTTGCTAACATAGGTGAAACAAGAGTGGTAATTGACCACATTGGTCTTTTTGGGTTCAATTTGCTCAGATTAGAATTTTAAAATCTTTTCACAGCTAGGAAGGAAAGCTAGGAACTTGCTTCACCATTGAACTTGGTTTACAATATCTACAGATTTAAATGTATTCCTTTCAGATTTCCTAAGTTCCTAAGATTCCTGGGCCTACCAAGAACTGATCTTACTTATAAATTCGTAAGGCTAGGAGCTATGTAAACCTGTTTGTCCAAGTTTCTCCAAGAGAACTTTATGAACATACATTCCATAAAGTTGACCTTTTTAAAAATCAGACTCTGTTCAAATCATTCCTAAATTTGCTATTGCAGTCAAAGCCTTGGAAACATGACCAGTGCTCCCCATTGTTTCATGCTATAAGGAGAATAAATTTCTATTGAACTGATGCAAATGACTATACAGTATAGGGAATAAAAATAAGAATACAGAAGCTTCAAATTCTGCAGGAGTAAGGCAAAGAGAAAAGACCAATGTTTCACTTGTGTTTACAAAGTTATAATTACTAATTTTTACAAATGTCGATCACTTGAGACAAAAAACAAAGAGGTTCCTTAAAACCAGGAAATAGAACAGTAAAAGATCAATGAGGGTTCAAAGCAAACCCAAATCATCCTGAATTAGTTCACTGAGTCCAAAGTAATTTTTTTCTACTTGATCAGTTAGCAATTTCAAGAACCAATCAGCTTCTCCACTTGAGTTCTGGAAATCCATACTCAGTTAATTGGTATAGGCTCAAAATTAAGTAATAAATACCATCATAAAGCATTATATCCTGTTATCTATAGCTGGTTATGAATGTTTTCAGAGGAGAAACAGAATAAAATATTCTGTGAATGACAAAAATTTATTTGTTTTGCATTTTTTTGGTACCAGTATCGAACTAGGGACCTTGTGCTTGAGAGGCAAGTGCCAGAACCACTGAGCTAAATCCCCGGCCCAAATGACAAAAATTTTAAATATTCATGAGCAAAGATTTCATGAGAGTTCACTATAAAATGATACAGTTAACCTAGCACTGAACAGAAGAGGAAAAAGGAGAAGGAGAAGGGGAAGGGGAAGAAGAAGAGGAAGAAAGAAGAAGGAGAAGGAGGAGGAAAAAGAAACGAGAAAAGAAAGAAAGAAAGAAAGAAAGAAGGAAAAGAATGAAGCATAAGCAGAAACAACTGATGAAGGAAATATGTTGTCAAATTTATTGTATGTTGGCATGTGACATTTTACATAATAATTGCCTTAGTTACTTTCTCTTGTTGCTGAGACTCCAAAAGTTAAAGGTGGAAAGGTTTATTTACATCTTAGTTCGCAGAGGTTTCAGTCCATAGTGACTGGCTTCAAGGCAGAATGGCACATGTCAGAGGAGCATCAGAGAAGAGAAACCATTCATGGCATGCAGAAGACAGCAAAAGCAACAAGGGACCTAAACAATGTCTTTCTGCCCCTTTTATCTTATTCAGAGTACTTAGGATGAGTAGCACTCACACCTTTAATCCTAGTGCCCTTGACCCTAGCATTGCACCATGAACCAGTTTTCAGCCTCACACACTCTAGATCCAGCCTCCTCTGAAAAAGCCCCACCTATGACTCCTTGAGGGTTTGGTGGGACATCTAGACACAAGACATAACAATGTTTAAAAATTAAGGCTGATAAAAAAAATTAAGGCTGATATAACAGGATATTTTATGGACGACAATGGTGTTGACAAATTACTTGAAATCTCACACATTTTCTGAAATATTTGCATAACAATATTACAATATTTACCCATGGAAATATAACAGAGGGAAGGTTAAAGCAGTTCTTATTTTACAGTGCTTTTCTTGAAATGAAACATATCAATCAAAAACATCAAATTATTTTTTAATATTTTTCTACCATGGTAGAAGAACAAACCATTTCAAATTTCTGGAAGTCTTCTTTTCAGTATGAAAAGATTTTATTTGGGATTTTATATGGAGAAAGCAATATTGTGAAAAATGTAAAACATTTTAGAGCTTTCAGAAGAGAGAAGTCTCAGTTCTCTGAAATAATCAAGGGTGTGATAAAAGTTAATGTAAAGCACAAGAACGTGTTCTGAGAAGACCTAATGTCTCACTGTCCTAGGCAGAATCCTTAAAAGGTAAAGAAATACTTTTTTAAATCCTTTATTAAGAGCATAAGTATAACCCAAGAAAAAATTCTCATTTTATTAAAGAAAAAAAATGTTTAGTTTTGCATTCATACACTATTAGGGCCTTTAAAAACTACTAAAACAAATCTTATAAGTAAATTCAGTCAATATTAGCAGCATGACCACATATAAGGTTCTTTTACAACAAACTACCTACAACTTTTTAAATCCATTTAGTTTTTAATCCCCTTCTTTTCTTGTTTCTAATTATGGAAAAAAAACAATCATTTCACTTTAGAATAAAATTAGTCTTTTTTTTGCTTAACAAGTAAATATTGTTCATTTCTTGTATACAACCTTGCCTTGCATACTCTAAAAGGCTATATCTGTTCATCGTTATCTTTTATTTTTATTTTTATTTTTTTGGTACCGGGTATTGAACTCAGGTCCTTGCGTTTGCGAGGCAAGTGGTGGAACCACTGAGCTAAATCTCCGGCCCCATCCTTATCTTTTCTAGTAGTTTCATCACATATACTGGAAATAACTTTTAGACATTAGTAATCTTTATATTAAAAGAGAAAATTAGAAGTACATGACTGTGAATCATCTGTAAGCTACTTGTATTCTGTAACATACTAACAGGTTTTATGAATATGTCATCTCACAATGTTTCTTAGGTCATAGTTCCTCTTATTGTAATTTTTCATGGGACAAAAAATGACATGTTTATCAATAGAGCCAAATATCTTTAGTCTTTCTGCAAAAATAAGAAAAAAATTGTACAGAAATAAATTTAGCAATGATTATTCCAGTAGTTCATCTTCTTAGAAATAACCTAGACAGTCTATAAATATCTATTATTGAATTTAACTTACCATAATGTTAATGATGGAAGTTGCCAAAAATATTTTGAGAACTGTTTTTAGTAAAGGTACTATAACACCAGAAGTACTAGCTCATCATCTCAAGTTATTTTCCTGTTAACTATTTTTAAAGTACATGCATGTTAGGCAAGTACCCCACAAGTAAAAAGCTAAAAATGTATACACTTAGTCTGTTTGATGTTTTTGACTATTGATTTTCTCTAGGTAATTGATATCAGACAATTTTTTATTTCATCTTTACTTGTGTATTCATCCTAAGGTTGAATTTATAATTTTCACAATCTTAAATGTCTAGTAGATATAATATTACATTATTCAACTTTTAAATCCAAGTATATTACACTGAATGCTAACAGAATATGCTCTGTTTTTATAAAACCAATAGCATTAAGCCAGCCTTAGTGTTCCAATGATATAAAGAAGTCCTGTGAACGAGAAAAGCATTTGAATTAGTTATAAGATTTGAGAGTTCTAGGAATATTTTGCTTAAATAAGTACTCATTTATCTCTAACCCAATCAGAATAGATCTTTTAAAAGGGAGTATATAAAGAAATTTAATAATACTTTCAGAGATTTTAAAATATCACTAAGCAATACAGAGGTGCAAACAGATTTTATAACTTTTATTCCAAAATTTTAACCAGTAGTCAAGAAAACACTGCTATACACTCTCCTCTTTGATCTACTTTATATTTTTGCTCAAGTTGTTTTTGCAAAAGCTAAAATATGGTTAGGTTACTTCACAATATGAAGGGTAAAGCTTTCTGGCAATATATATTGTAGCTGACTTTTAAGATTTTCTTTCATCCAGATATACAATCTTTGGAAGGATATGATTACATGTAGATAAAATATTAATTCCAATTTCAATTGGTGCTTTTTTTCTTTTTTCACTCAGACATTAGTTTTGGAAGATCTTGAATTTCTTGGAAATCATAACAGAAGATCCTAAAGTTCAAGTGACTAAGCATCTAGTGGGAAGGAAAAGTTCTGGTAGGAACAGAGGAATAGAAGAAGGTGAGGTTTGATGTGACAAATACCAAAATATTCAAGGAAGCTGAAAGAAAGTTTTAAAGGATAAGTAGAGGAAAATTAGAAGGTAGGGGTTGGAGATCTTAGGGGACCGAGCTTGTGGAGATACTCAGTTTCCCAAGCAGGGGACTGAGTTCCAGTTTATCCTCTGTAAAACATGATGACTAGAAAGGAAGTGACAGAGTTGATGGAACCTATAAGCAGCAGGGGTTTGAGAAAGGCGTTTCAATTAACGTAAGAGAAAGGTCATTACATAGGTATGAAGATAAAGGGCTAGAGATTCATACTTGTTCTACATGTGAATTCTGGAGTCCAATGATGAATACTTTCAAAAGAACCAGAGAAAACTCATAAAGAGCCATGGAAATCTCTAGCCTTGGAAATTAGTTAATAAATTCTCTATTGAATAAAAGAGAAAGGCAGACTTCCAGCTCAACCACTATATTTCAAGGACAAGGACTGTAACTCAACTACTTACAAACTGCAGTCTAGACTCTAACTCAGTCTGATTTTGTCTGGGGCTCTAACCCAACTTTCTTAGTATACTCAGAATCTTAAGAATCACAAACTGTCCTTACTATGCCTCAACAGACTGTCATCTACAGCACTGGCTCAGGAGTTGAACTCACCAATGGATCCACCATCAATCGGCCAGAAGTGAAGGTAACAGATTTAAGAGTTTGCATTTGGTGTCCTGAGTAAGAACTCTTGAGATCCAATGATGATCCTATCCAAGTCAGAGCACTCAAACTTTTAAATAAATTACTCAATGACTCTTGTCACAATTTTTACTATGGTAAGGCAGTCTTTATTCAGGAGATTTGAAGGGGTTTCATAAGGTTCTACTGTAGAGGAGATAAATTGGGTTCAACTCTGAATACAACAGGAAAAGTTATGAAGTTATAGTAAAAAATCAGGATATGAATCAGTGAATAGATATCTAAGAGGCTCAGTTAAATATTAAATGGAATTAGTTGATTCTTGCTGAAGATAGGCTGAGGTGATCAGGTATTACTTGGATGATGATAATGAGAGAGAAATTTAATCATATATTAAAGATCATCAGATATGGAGGAAGGGGTGGGGCAACCTAAAATGAATAAATAGAATTCTTGCTGTAATAAGGTCCTCGTAGGACATGAAAAATGATGCGAATTAGTCGGATTCTGAAGAATGTGGCTAAGGTTTGGGTGAAGAGAATCCTTATCCATGCAAAGAAAAATAGCAAGAGATAAAGTAAGTTTGGTAAGTATAAAATATCTCAGATTCATAGCTGAATGAACAGTGTATGTCTAAGGGAAGAAAGGAATATTAGATTTTCATTCACAGTATCATTTAACAGGAACTATTTTATCTTACAATACTGAGTGACAAGTACTTAACTATCCCATTTTACTAAAATGATATGTACCAGTATTCATTCAACTTTCATCAACTACTTAACCAAAATTTACTTGATAATTTCAGTGTCTCATGAATGCTGCAGGCTGGTGTGTATAGAGAAAATGATTGGAAGGAAGCATATGATATTAAAATGTGCTAAATCCATCTAAATTGAAAAATGGAAATGTACACTAATAATGAATTAAATGAGAAAGTTACTCTTCTTTCACAAAAGTATGAGGCACCAAATTCTTAAGAGTGCTATGTCTTTGCCAGTTGGAGGAGAGAGCCAAGAGAATGATAAGGAACAGTCTTTTATAAATGCACTGGAACTGCGATCAGAACTTACTAGATGGATAGGGCCCAGGTTCTGGACAAGGGTTGAAGTAATTTAGTGTATATTGTAGAGGGCATATATTTTCAATATCAGAAAAAATAACATTTGGGTTAGTTATATTCAAATTCTTATTAATATTTCTTATGTGGTTGGTTGTTTGCTATTCTTTCTAGTCCTATACATTATTCATAAATGACTTAAAATATAGAATAAGAAGTTAATAACATGTTTCCTGAGATCCAGTCAGTAGGAATTATATATAATTGTTCCTTTGCTAGAAAGAGCTTATGTACATTGGTGTTATTTTATTCCTTAGAAATATTTGGTTAAATCACTGGTAAAGCCACGTGGACATTCTCTTTTGGCTTTTCGTTTTTATTTTAATATAAAAGTAACATTTTCAGTAGATAGGAAATTATTCTATTTTTTAGTGAGCTTTGATAATTTGTGTAGTTCAAGAAATTTGTCCATTTTTACCTGCATTGCCAAATTGATGTGACCTTTTTTCCCAAAATTCTTTAGTATGCTCTATTGTATTTTTAAAATCTGAAGAATCCTTAATGATGTCACTTTTGTCTCTTTCCTGATATCAGTAACTGCATCACCTTTTTATGCCTAACCTGACTAAAGGAATATCTATTTTATTATCTTTTCAAAGGATTAGCATTTGTTTTCATTTTTCTTATTTTTGGTCAGTGATTTTCTCTTTTATCTATTTTCTGCTTACTTTTTCTTTATTTTGCTCCTAAGTTTAGTTTGCACTTCTTTTTTAATTTCTTGATATAGGAGATGTTTTATTTTCAAAGTTTCTTTTCTAAACTTAGTGTTTAATGTTTTGAATTTCTATTTAAACACTACACTGCATGTATCACATGAAACTTGTATGTTGTGTATTTCAATTTCATGCAGTTCTATATTTTTATCATATCTACTTTGAAAATCTCTTGTACCCATGGAATATCTAGCAGTGTGTTATTTATTTCCAAATATTTGGGACTTTTCCATATCTTTCTAATGAACTTGTGTTGTCATCAGTGAACATACTAGTCATTTGTATAGTTTCAGTGCTTTCAAATTTATTGACAATTGTCTTATGCCCCAAGCTATATTCTTAGTTTGCAGCTAAAAAGAATGTATATTTTGCTATTGATGGTCTAGTGTTCCATAAATGACATTTAGATTGATTTGTTAATGTTGCCAGTTGTTTACTGCTTTTCTTTTTATATCTTCTGTCAGCATCATTTTATATTTATCTATCTCTCCTTTTGCTAATATCTATTGCTTCATGTGTTTTGAAAGCAAATTTGGTGCATGTTTAGTTATAGGATATTTATGCTTTTTTGACAAATTTATATCTCCATCAATTGTTAAATATTTACTTTGGATGTTATAAATGCATCATTCCAACATTTTGATTAGGGCTCGCATAGATTATGTTTTCCTTTTATTTTATTATTAATTCATTTTTTATTTGTCTATTTAAAGTCTATTGTTTCAAAAATAAAATTCCCAAATGAAGAAATTAAAAAAGAATTGCAAACTAAGATTAAAAAAGAGCAAAAAAATAGATAAAAGAGAAAATCAATGACTAAGAATAAAAAAAAATGA